GTAGAACGAACTCATTGAATTTTTAAAAAACTTGTTCCAAATATCACAATGCATATACTCAATCATGATTATGGCTTGAATATGCATCTTAATTAACTAATCTAGACACACTTCATACAAACAATTAAGTATTATTTAAACATTTTACCCAAGCACAATTTAGTTGCACTCTTAAATTCTCAATTGTGTGAGTGCTATCTTTTGTATAGAATGAGATTTCCGGGAACTTCCATAGGAAACTTGGAAATTATACGAAATCGGTAGCAAGCACCTCAAAAGCAATATTTTAACTTCTTTCTTCCGATCGCCGTTAAGCGAAGGCACCAAACGTGCCTGTTTGCTCAAATTTTGCATTGCCTTACTTATTTTATAAGATTTTAAATGCATGTTCATATGCACCTTAGAAAACCAGAATTTTAGTTTCATACATCGTTTTACAAACACGTACTCACACACCCACTCTTCTGTAAGTTTAACAATGTTTATATCTTTATTTTATGACAATTATAATAAAGAATATTGCAAAAAGTAATTTATTCAAAAACGTTTGAGAAGAGGCCACAACATTTGTAGGCTCGCTCTCACTGAACTTCAAAATCGAGATTAAAAGCTATGAGCATTCGGAAAAATACACATTCAGTTATTCCATCTCGTGGAATATATTATCACTGGCAATCACATTGCGCAACGGCGACTCGATGTAATTTCGATTTTCAGCTAAATGTGTATGATCATTTTATACAACGGTTTTGCTCATTTCTTTAATGAATCTACAAAGGTTGATGTTACAAAATTCTCCCATAAACCGTTTTCTGCTCTTGACACAAGCAAACGCCTGTTGCACTCGCTACGATCATATATAAGCAGATGTTCAGGCATTAAAACATTTGATCAGTCTAGGGAAGTGCTGGTGTATCGTATTTACGCTTAACGGCGCATAACAATTACAATCACGTAAAAATATAAACCGAAATTTTTAAAACGATATAAAATTAAATAGCAAATGAGATGGATTTCGATGCTGTGTTAAAGAAATGTGGTAATTTCGGGCGCTTCCAGTTTCTGGTACTGCTATGTTTTAGTCTGACTAACCTCCTTTCATCGATGCATTACTTTGCTCAAACAATAATTAGTTTCACGCCGAAGCACTGGTAAGTGGCAGCCAATGACGACAGCAAATACAAAAGAAGTGCAATTAAAAATTATTAGAGAGCGCAATTGTTTAGTGATCGTTAGTGGTGCATATCACTCGTTAGCAAGATAAATTTAAAAGTGCTATTATGCAACATAATTGCATTTGTGCGCGGATAGTTCAACTTTTATGGTTGGTACATCATGGTTTAAAAAGGAAATTTTATAATTGTTACTTAATTTTAACGTATTGTGTAGATACCACCCATAAGTGAATTGGATTCTCTTTCTACATACATTTAATCAAAATTGAACATTTGCTCTCATTTGTCCAGAACCAAAATTAACCAGAAGTCAAAATTTTTCTATTCTAATAGACCAAGGTAAATAATTTTTGAAAAAACGAGGTGAATTAATAACCGTTAATGAAAAAATATATGGACTTTTTTAAAAAATATGATATTTTCATTGAGAAAATTCGTTTTCGATATTATGTTAGGTCAATATAAGGAGCAAAAATAAATATTTTAATTAATTCAAAAATACAGTATGGTTGGGGCTCAAGAAGGTAAGTTTTTTCAAAAAAATTCACCCATGCTCTTTATAAATATTAAACACCTTCGTAGATATAAGAATGCAAATTTAAAAATTTTATTTACTTAAATATAAAAATAACGGGGCACGTTGTTTGAGCGCGATGTACGCCTAAACTACTGGCAAAATTTAGCACACTGTGTCCAATTCGAATCAACTTAAAAGATAGGGTAGTAAAAACAATCCATAAATAAACAACTGGCTGCAAGCGTATACAAATACAGTGATGGCTCTATTAAATGGACCCTCTGTTAAGCGGCCATCTCCATTAACCATGCGCATTGGCCGGTCTCATTATTTGTTGATATCTATTAAGTACTATTTATTAAGCGAACAACTCTATTACCCGTACAGAAAGGCTGGTAACCAGACATTGAGAAAGCAGCTTCAAATCCGTAATTTTTTGCAATGAAATTTGTTTGTATGAACGTATTCAAAATTAAACCCCAAGTACAATCCCTTGGATTCTTATATCAACAAATAGTTTTTCGCCTTCATTTGTAAATAAAATTTTCACTGTATTAAATAGTTTATTATATGAATAATAGTATGAAATGTACACCACAGCAACGCTTGGCCGGATCCACTAGTAGAAGTATAATTAAATACGTTCAATTATGTTAAAAAAAAGCAATATCTAAACACATTTTTCGCATTGGTAATGTTTCATTGGTCAGTGAAAGAGAATCGAATTGCATATATCTAAACGGAGAATTAGCGAACAGATATACAGACATAGCTTATAAACAGATTTATACTTTTTTTTAATCGATTATTCAATGCCGTTGCACTCAACAGTTAGGTGAATAAAATAACTGCATCAACTTTTTGTTTTCGACGGACTTGTCTAACTTAAGCACTTGCCTGTGTTTAGGAATTCAAATTAACTTAACTGAAGCTCTAATGCGTCACAATGTTTGTAATGCAGCAAATCAAAATGGAAAGTAATATTTTCTTTAATACGTTTAAATATCAGGTGTTACCATGAAAAGCTGTCAAATGCCAGTTTCGATGAAATTCGCGCTGTCTACGCACAAACAACTGATCCACATTGCACCCTGTTAGATGACATAGTCGATGGCCAGCCGATTGTAGCTGAAATCGGTAAATGTCGAAGGTGGATATATGAATACGAAAGTGGTTATAAAAGCGTTACATCAGATGTAAGTACGGTCATGAATTTATTTACTACTTAAATTGTCTTTAAAGAGAATATGATAGTCTGCGTCTGACGAGTGCGCATAAATGTATGCTATGATTTCCCTGTGCTGTATAGTGTACATATAGAGACCACTGGATGAATTTATGAATTTCACGTTATATTATATACATATATATGTACATTTGTACACAGACAGGCAAATATGCGAGTGTTTTTATGTTGTAGAAAATATCAAGCTAAATTACATCCTTATATATAATTTCAGCTTAACTGGGTATGTGAAGAAGCTATACAATCTGCGATCGGACAATCTCTCTACTTTGTGGGATCTGTCATCGGTACGGTTTTCTTCGGATATCTCGCAGACAAAATTGGTCGACTTCCTGCGTTGATCTGCACCACACTTACTGGAGCGATAGGCGACTTTCTCACAACYTTTTCCACCAATTTGCCAATATATTCAATTTTTCGCTTCATTTCGGGATTATCCACGGACACATTTTACTATCTGATGTACATAATGGGTAAGTTAATGGTCATCAAGTATAAAAAGGGACTTAACTATGACACGATTTTTTGAGGTTATTGCCTGTTATATCCATATATGTATTTGTATTTTTCAGTTTTCGAGTATCTTAGTCCAAGAAAGCGTACACTTGGTCTTAATATGGTAACTGGTATATTCTATTTCCTTGGTTTAGCTTTGTCCCCCTGGTATGCACTATGGTCAGGTTCATGGCGTGGCTACCTGTACATCGCATCTGTACCGGCTCTACTTGTTCTAGTATACCCGTTTTTAATTTGTGAAAGCGCACAATGGCTGATAGCAACACAGCAATATGATCGCGCGGTTAAATGTCTGAAACATGTTGCCAAAATCAATAAACGCGAGGTGAAAGACGAAGTTTTCGATGAATTCATAGCACACTATAAGCAAAAGACAAGTGAAGAACTCACGAAGAAAGCTGACAAAGACACATTTTGGGGCATGTTTCGCACACCACGCTTGCGCAAATTCGCCATTATGATGTTGCTGAAGAAGTAGGTGAAAATAATTTCACTTCATCTCTCAACCCTCTCAAACTCTCTACCTTTGTAATGCAGCATATTTCTCGCAMTCGCGCTGGATGTGATCAGCCGCAATATGGAAGGACTGGGCAGCTCGCCATTCGTACTTTTTTCAACCACTTCGGTTGTGTATGTTGTGGGAGGTTTAACTATAATCTTGCTACAAAATCACATAGGTCGCAAGGGGATGGCCTTCAGCACCTTCTTAGTCAGTGCCATTATTATCGGCGCTAACAGYWTCCTCATCGCTTTTCTTGACACCGAGCGAAATGCTTTACTCTTCGCCATTATGACCGGCCTCGGCCGTTACGGCGTCGTCGTGAGCTACGAGGCAGAGGCACAATATTCCTCCGAATTCCTACCAACCACCGTACGTGGTCGTGGCATGGCCAATATACATGTGGCTGGTTTCGCGTTCACCAGTCTACATTCTTATGTTATATATTTAGGTTATTACTACAAACCCCTTCCGTCGATTTGCATATCTTTAGTAATGTTCTTCGCATCAATATTGTGCCTCTCACTGCCAGAGACCATGAATCAGTAAGTAATCTTAAATATGTAACATGTGTTTATTTGATTCCTAATTATATATAACTTATCATCACCATAGAAAACTACCGCAAACCTTGAAAGATGGTGAGGAATTCGCGCGAAATCAGCGCTGGTACTATTTTGTTTGCTTCGATAAGACGTTAAGCAAGATGGACGCTGATGTCAGCAAAGACAGTCATTGAGATATAGAAAAGTGATAASTGATTGTTTTGCTAATAATACCTAAGATTTGTTATTCGCATTGATTGAGTGTGTACTATATTTTTTTATGAAGTTTAACATGGAAATTGTATATTTTATTCAAATATTTGCATATGCGCACAAAATTTAATAAATAAAGCGTATAAATAAAGTCATAAAAACTCATAGGGTTTTAGAATATYATGATATCTGAAATGGTTAGACGTAGAAATTTTGATTCTTCTGCCCCTCTATCGCCCATTGTCTATTATCCAACCGCTACACATGCGCCGTAAATGAAAGCAAATCAGTTTCAAAAGATTGTTCGCTAACTGTACTAGTTTGAGGCTTTTCCTTTGTATTTTTGCGTAAAAAATCATTTTATAAACATAAATCCATACATAAATGATATATGCAGACATATTTACACTACAATATGTGATTGGAGGAAAAAAGGAAATACATATACATATACATATACAAATGTATATTTTTATATTAACTAATATATGCTTATATAATTAATGTTTGTAGAAATGTACATTCTAAAATATCTTAAGAAACTAACTGTAATTAAGGAAGCTTTATATTTCATATTACTAAGTTTATTTACTAATTATTAAGCAGAAAAGAAACTTAAATATATTAATTCTCAAACTTTTGATGCAGCTATTATATAAAACGATTTTAGGCACCTATTGCATTCTTAAGTGAGCTATTATCAAAATTTTGTATGTACATATTTATGTATATAGGCATATGTATTTCTTCGCTTTATATTTGATGGGTTTTATATATGTAAGTAGATACTTCTTTTATATTTTTGCTAGAACAATCCAATTCGGTATGCTTTCTTAGGCTTTCACTTTGAATATCAAGAACGTACTTCTCAATATACATATATTATATGTATGTAAGTGTGTAGATTTATACAAAAAATATTTTTATTTCTCCATTTTTTTCCTTTTTGTAAATCTGCTTAGAAATCAGTACTGGCTTTAAGCTCTGCTTAAGTAAAATTGTGCCAAATGCTACGTTTGATTATTACGACTTTCAAGTACATATGTACATGTATATATACATATTTAAGTAAAGCGTACAACGTTTTAAACATATTTGATATATATCGCTTAATTCCTGTATGTTATGCATGATACAAAGTTTATTTAGTGCAAAAAGATGGATTGATTTTGTATATACACATAAATATATAATGTATACGCATATTTATATCTGTATTACACACGCAATGTTTCCCTAAACACTTCTTTCGAAATTTTAACTGAAGTCATACTACCCCTTCCCCACTAAGCACCTGTWTGTTACCTACAACATTACTAGTAGGCTCTTAAGAACTAAGGACGTTGACTATACAAAACATTGATATACAAATAATATTGTGTTTTGTGTGCTTTCGCTTCTGTGCAAAACATTACCGTTATCCGTTGTTTGTGGTTTTTGTTTATTCTAAAACTTAGCACCTAAGACGTCTACCGCGTTCGCACACATTTACGCCGCACTGTTGAGGTTCTCATCGGCTGATTCATTGCCACGATCGAAATCAGTTAACGACTGTTTACGCTCGTAGGCCTCCTCTTCAGAGTCACAAGAACGTTTGCCTCTCTTCGAAAGACAGGGGAAATCGAACATACGTTCGCCTTTGCCGAAAACTTCACCCTCTTCAACGGTTTTTGGAAGTGTTCTGTAAAATTCGTATTTAAAATTAGTACACATAAACATTTTGTARGGATAGTTGCTTCCGCACCTGTTAAGCGTCTCGGGAAGTAGTAGGCATACAAAGGAACCCGTAAAGAAGAGCGCACCCAAAATTATCGATGGCGCTGCCTTGAAGAATGTGCCCAACCACAAGATGTAGGGCGCCAAAAACGATGCTGCAAAGCCAGCTACGTGTACCGCAGCCACACCTTGGCCGCGCACGCATGTTGGTATCAACTCGGTGGCATATTGAGATCCGGATTCGTATGAAATCGCCACACCAAAACGCGCCGCTATGGTTAAGCATGCTAGTAGTACGGCATTGTGGTTGTGCTGTTGATAGGCGATCGCTACGCCTGCCAAAGAGGTAAATAAACCGCCGACAAGAAGCGAGCCGGCCGCCATGCCCTTGCGTCCGATGCGATCCTGTAGCAAGATCACGATTATGCTCGATGGCAGCACGGCGATGGCGCTCAAGGAGAACATAACGAATGGCGAAATGCCCATACCCTCAACATTACGCGAGACCGCATCGTAACAGAGTGTAATGACCATCCTGAAAGGTAAATAACGGTGAATTACAATTTAATTAGCACGAGTATAACCTATATAAGTATCGATTAATGTTAGGCAAATAATTGTCATTGTCTAAATAATATTGTAGCAAATATACTTACGATTTGAAAAACAATATAAGTGTGTGTTTGCGCATGCGTGGCGTTCTAAACATATCCAGCAGTGTTGAGTGCACCTGCTCATCGCCGCCCATTTTTTGACGTTGCTTCTCGCAATGTTTGCGAAATTCTTCAAATTCCGACGGAGTCACTTTTCGTTTGTTAAATCGTGCGACGCGTTTCAAACGCTTTATAGCACCGTCTACATCATTTCTTGTGACCAACCATTGAGCGCTCTCCTGCACTACGAAATAGTAGAGAACCACGGAGAGTATAGGCAGTGAAGTGCAGGCCAAATAAAGTTGCCAATGCCCAACGAGAACGGCCAACCATGGTGTGAAGACAAGGCCAATTGTATAGAAGACACCGACAGCTAAATTCAGACCAAGTGTTCGCATCGATGGACGGATATATTCAAGAACTAAGRAGTGAAAGAGAATACGTTAAAAATTAAAAATACAAACCTTATGTTTACAGAAACAGCACATTACACAACAGCACTTATTAATGGAAGATTGCAAAAACTATCATAATGAAAATTCCACTTCACTCACCAATAATATACATAAGATAAAAATTTGTATCTGCCGCCATGCCGGATATGAAACGGCAAAGTGAAAATGTAGTAACGCTTTGAGAGAATATTGTCGAAAAATCCCCAATAAAACCCGAAAAATTTGAAAGTATGAGAGCAGGCAAGCGACCGATCTTGTCTGAAAGCAGGCCGTAAAAGAGGGTTCCAACAACGGAACCTATAAAGAATAACGACTGCCCGATGCGCGCTTTGTACGCCGAATCACAGACCCAGTTTAGCTGGAAGAATGTGAAGAAAACGTAAATGAGAAAACTAAATTAATACAATTTGAAAAATTTATTTTACGTACTCACCTCTGTGTTCATGCTCCGATAGCCATAATCGTATTTATAGATCCAACGCATACAACTCTCTGGGCTCACCGTTACATTTGCRCCATCGATGTCGAGCAGGCGCGTACAAGATGGATTCGGAAACTTCGCATAGATCTCCGCAATCTCATCGAATGACTTATTCACTAATTTCTCATGGTAGCACCAATGATCGGGCACAAAACTTATCACAGTTTGGGTAAAATAATGTAGTGAGACAATGAAGTTGATTACACCGAACAATGTCAACAACAGAAACTGATAGCGACTAAAATCGCCGCATCTCGCAAGAATCTGATCAAAATCCATATTTGCTGATGGATGAGATGATGATCACGTGGCGGTGCTGTCAATGATCTTTGAAGTACTGACGTTTAATTACAAACAGAACACAAGAAACTTATATTGTCCGTAAATAGAAGGAGCAATGAGCGTAGCAGCCAATCGTAGACGTTTATTTGAGCGATAAATGACCGGTTAAGATGGTAGCAATGATTTTGAAACTAGCGCTTAGTATTAATGAGTTCGCATTGGCAATTTCGTTGGCTTTCTTTGTACTGTATGTAAGTTGTAAGTTGCAGTCTTAGAACTGCAGCGCTTGCGTTCCTTACCGTAATGTGCTTTGCATATACTTGTTTGAATTGTATTTGTGTGTTGTTTTTTGTTTTCTGGTTCCGGTGGGTGGTATTCTTRACGATGCTAACTAAGTTTGGCTGCGCGTTCGCTATCCGATTTTTTATGTTCGAGCGGCAATACTTTATATTGATTGCGATTATTTCATCAATTAGTCATAATAATTATAGAATTTATTTACATATGAGAATTCAGTTTGGGTCTATCACAACTCTAAGAGCACGTGCTCGTGTTGTTGTTTAGTAAATTTCCGATACGAAATTGGTTATTATAATTCTATTCAAATATTTTATTCATATTCGTAGATTAAACGCGAACATATCTGTAAGTGTGKATATGTGTACCGTTATGCTGAACTAAATTAGTAGTGTAGTTTTGCATGCAAATTATTGCTGTAATTAGAAAGAGAAAGATAAATAAATGTAACATTTGGTTTTAGCTTTCAATTTGCAGAGATATAGCAAGATTTATAATTGCTATGTATTCCAATCGCCAGTAAAGAAGAAGAAAATGTATTCCAATCGGTATAAGAAATATATTAATGTTGCTGAAATCATATGAATCTGGAAAATGTGAATTTTCAATTACATATATTTATTCCGGAAACGGATGTGGTAACCACATATTACTACCAATTCATTCGTACGCAACAGACAGAAATTTAGTTTTAATTTTATTTAGTTTTCCAATTCTTATTCCACACATATCATAAAGGGTATTAAGTAATAATTCACACGTGTTTCCAAAACTAAGCCTTTTATAGAATTTTTATTACTTTATTACACCAAATCAGCTAATTATAACAAAAATTATATATGGGAACATATTATATATTTCAACTTAACAACATCGTAATTGAAAATCGTTTAAGAGAAGCCATTTCCCGAAATCTAAAGCACCGCTATTTGGGATTAACAGTAATTGATGATCAAAAATAGTTACTTGAGCTACCAACAGCATAGAACTTTAGGTTTGGCTTCACAACCCAAAAAAAGGTGAATAATTTTTTCGATGGCTGAATGCTGTCAACAGAAAACTTCATAATAAAGAGACAAAAGTTCATATTCGTTAAAGCGAAAAGGTCATCTTGTTTCAAAAGAAATTATGTATTTATTTTAGTAGTCAAAATTAAATACCGCCAGAAATAATCAAATTCCTAATTTGTTCTTATTTGGATTTGGTGTTGAGCTTTCACTAATTTACATAATTTTCTTTCTAACAAAGGTTAGCGCTTTCGCGTTTTTCTCAAACACAAACCGCAAAAATTAACTACTCGAAGTATTAACAGGTAAGTACATAAATAGACTCCAATACGAGTGAATAGGTGTTAGCACACTTCAGTCGAAGTGATTTTAATGCCTTTGGTTGTGAAGTGGCTAATAAGTATTWTTATTAAAGTAAATAATAAGAAATCAACAGTGCCACACGACCTAAATTGAAGGTAAAATAACATCTACATATGGTTGCATTTCCTAAATATAGGAGCAAAAATAGAGTTAAATATCTTCCACCTTATTCTCTTTTCTGTTTTATCTCAATTCCATATCTAATGGATATWTCTTTAAAATCCCCCTTTCAAATCATTTTAATATAAAACCTGAATGCTAATAGAATCCGCCCGACGGGTTTTAGGAAATGACTTGATATTTTTTATCGACTCACATTATTTGGTGAGTTCATACCACACACTGGTATTTTTTTACACAAGGTGTATGTAAATTAAACATTGAAGTGTTTTAATTACTTAGTCTGAATTAATATTCGCAGTTAGTTTAGCTTTAAGGAAGCGAAATGAAAAATCTCATTATTTTCCATGAGCATACGGAATGGCAGAAATTGTCGGAGTTCCTAAGTGTAAGCAATTGAGATAGCTTATCGTGAAGAGCTGTTGGCATCAGGCGTGTACGCATGCCCCTTTATTTGTTTGAAAATTAACTGGTTTTTGTAGCTTTATAAGAGCAATATCATAAATGACTGATACGAGTGGTATGACACGACAACAGTCTAATATCTGGGAGTACACAAAAGCACTCGTCTTTCTATCATTGAAGTAAATAATATTTAGAGACGACATACCTAAGTTCAAGTTTCAATTCTTACAAATTTGAGGRAGTTTTCGCGATGTAGGGCATGGTTATAAATAGATTTAAGCACTCACTGCAACCCTGTGCGGTGTAATGAAAAACTAACATTTATTTCATCCGGAATTTTTAAACGATTAAGAAGTAAAATACAAAATGGAAAAATTATTATCGGCCAAATCGAATGCTAGAAGACAACGCAGATTTCGATTAACATATGTTTCTGATTATCGTTTTATATTTTGAAATACGTTTTAAGAAGATAGCAAATATTTTTTTTATATGCGGTTTATTTATTTGCGGGGACATTATTATTTGCGCTCCTTCAATTTTCTGCGCATAATAAGGTCAAGTACGTATTTCTTAACAAAGAACACGGAACTTAAATGACCACTTTATTATTGAAATATTTACATAATATTTAATACTTTCGCTGAACTGACCACGAAACCTTCCGCCCATTAAGCAATTATTTAATAACCTACAAAGTGGACCACTTCAGATAAGGATATTTGTTTTTAGCTATAAAAGTTGCAATAAAATGTTTTTTAATTACTTAATTTTTTTCAAGGAAGAAACCTTTATAATGAAGCGAGAATTGTTACAACAACAATTATTTATTTATTTATTCATACTTATCCACTATATTAAATTTATTTGAGAAGAGCAATACATCATATAAAAGTTAATTAGTCGCTTGGCTAATTTATTGCTCCGATAAAACTCAATAAATCAAATATTAGCTTAAATTACTCAATTAATTGTGCAATTTTTTGGCTTCTACAATAAATACTACAAACAATGAAAAAGTAATTAACAACAACGCTGTGAGACAACGCCACATGAATTTCATGCGAATACAAGATTACATTTACGGTTTTATAACTGTCATTATTATTTGTTGGCAATGGCTCAACGCGAAGTAGCTGATAAAACATGTAGTGAAACATGCCCTGACTTTTGTCAGCTCGCTATTAACTGATAAGCGTAAAGTACCATCACAAACACGTGTTAACGGCAGCAAGCACAAGAAGTTCATTTGCTGATAGCAACAGGCGAAGTCTAGTCTTTCACTCTGTGGCGAGTTTTTCCGGTCACTTTGCTTTCTTATTAGCCATTCGTTTCTACCCACTAAACTAGCTGGCCTTGGGTTTATACAATAATTTGTTATAATTTCATTGATTGCAAATTGATGTCGCTGGTTTGTCTGGGGCGCGCTGCAAACAGAAGTTGTTCTTCGGAGACTTTCTATGAGCCTTAGTAAACAGACGAAACGCCTACGATAGCATACCAGTAGAGGCAACAGCATGAAGCTTTATGCCTTATTATGCGTAATAACAGTTATTTGTTTACCCCATGATTTTTACGAAAATACTATATATTAATTATCTGCGTGACGAGCTGAATGGATTTAGTCATGTTCACCTGTCTGTCTATATATACGCGAACTAGTCTTTCAGTTTTTGTTATATTGACCTGGGCAACTTTTTCATTCGATTTTTTTGAATTTATGGAGGGCATTATAGCATCTGTGCAACCGAACGTTTGTTATACTCTTGCAACATGTTGCTACAGACTGTAAGAGTTTTATTCACTTAACGGTTGTACGCATCGTACGGTATGAGATGGTTTTATATGAGCCTGTGTGAAAATAGGACAATAGACGTGGCACCGCCCAATTTTTAATGAAATCACATATCTCGAGACCCGACCGATCAATTACGACTAAATTTAGCACGCGACATTCTTCTTATATTCTTATGCCACTTCCCATATAGCCAAATCCATTTAATTATTTCACTTTCTGGGACACAAACCAAGAAGTAATAAATATAACAGGCTAAAACATTCCTATGTGCCAAAAATAGATTAAATATATTTTTTATTATTTATTAATAAAAAAACTTTGTCTAGCTCCCATATAACCAGCATCAAAATTTTTGAAATCGGCTTATATATATAATAGTATAAGTATATATAAAATTGCTTAGATTCCGATCGTTTGGTTGATACTTACGGTATTTTCCTAACTTTGATTACTGAAAGTGGCAAGAGTATAAAATGTTCARTTGCCCCCGAACTTAGCCCTTCCTTACTTGTTTTAAATTAGTTTTGAAACAAAAGCTCTAAAATTGTTAATCTACGTACTTGTGAAACCCACTTTAACGAGCTAATATAATCTTATTGCATTTAATAGTCCTACATAAAATTAAAATGCTTAAAGTTCTTTTAAAAAAATGTACCCAAAAATATTAGAGAAACTACATATTTCTCTTTAAAYGAAAACTCAAGTGGGTAAGATATATTCGAGTTACAAAGTTAACTATCACTGTCGGTACTTTTTTTATGGTATATTAAAAACTTTCCAGATATTTTTTAATTACCGGATTTAACCTTCTCTTTTTAAATTTATGTTAAGACATTGTTTGACGGCCCCTAGCCTCAAACACACTATTTTATATTTTCTCATTTTCTCTGAAGAAGGTTTCATAGAACGTGAAATATTATATCTTGGATGAATTTCAAGTTTCTTTCAGAAGCCCTAAATCCTGCATAAACAAAAATATTTTCCTTTTAAGATATTCTAGCACTTATACACGCATAAATTAAAAGAACTTCTTAGATTTCAAATTCTTAATTTTATTTTGCAATTACGGATTTCGTTCGCCAAACCAGTTAAATTGAAAAATGTATGCAACCGTAAGAAAATAATTTATATACACACCATTTGTGAAGTTTAATAAGTAATGCCGGAGCAATTCTTATTTTTAATAACAAAGCAGTTCAATGGCTTTTAACAGCAGAAAACGCAAAAGTTTCGAAACCAAAACAACTTTAATTACATTTGGCAAACGGAAAACTTCTGAGAATTGACTGCGGCAATTAACAAAGCAAAATATTTTATGCAGAACAACGCGCCGTCTCAGACATCGAGCAAAAACAACGCACAGCAAATACACTCGCGAATACGAAACAATGCTCAGAAGCTCAGCAACGAAAATCGAAAGCGCAATATCGCGTACAACACCTCCAAAYGATATAAACAAACTGAACAGCGACACAAAGCTAAACTGAGCAACAGTTCGAAGATCCGGCAGCAACAGATTTTGAATAGCAAACGGGCTGTCAGATGGGGTGGGTGCCCACGGAAGGAGGGTGGATAACAGTACTAGCCGTCAAAGAGGCAGTCAGTTTCTCTGTTTCTACTACTAATAAACAATAGCGTCGAATATATACACACACAAATGCAAATGCAAATGAGAGAGGAAAATCCGATTTAAAGTTTACTTTTTATGGAGCGCTGTGATACGACATCGCACAAATTCTACATAAATAAATAAAGAATTCAAAACAGCTGGTTTCCCCGCAACAACATACATTTATATATATGTATRTATATATATTTATGTACGTTCATTACAAATTGTGTCTTGCTATGCCAGACGRCTTTTATGCATTAACCCAGCAGAACGWGCAATRAGATCCTGAGATGCCTGGAATTTTATAAACGATCGTTCTTTTGAAAACGGTTAACATTGTATAAAGTCTATTTGCTCTGATAATAGAACTCTTTCCGAGAAATGTAGGAAATTCGAATTAAAGATATTTTAATTCTCTCTACGTTTATTATCAWAAACTAATATTTTCACAAGCAAAGAAATATGTATAAACAAACAATACAGTTTTGATAATCACCCTTCTTGATTACGATATGGTTAAGAGAACTTTGTCAAATCAAAACGACATCTGCCAAATATTAAAATACACATGCTCTCATGGACACAGTTATTTTGACAGCTGTCGGACCACACGACTGCAGGCCGACAGTTGTCGCTCTCGCTAACTTCAATATACATTATTTTTATATTTGCCAACGACAGTAGGACGACAGTAGAGTTGACAGTAGAGAGATGAGGTAGAGTGGTGATGCCACTAATATGTAAAATGTAAAATTCTTCAAAGCTCTAAAAAAACTGACGTTATTTTACAAATAAAAGCATAAAATAGCTCTATTATATCAATTGTAATAAAAATTGATAATTTAAAACAAATAAATTTACCTATTTACTTATTTTTTGCACAAAAAATTTCACTTTGAACAAAATATTAAAATTTAGGTATTAGTATAGCCTCAACGAAATTGTGTACATGCAAAATGGACAGCTGTGTTGTCTTGTGTCGTGCTGGTGCAGTCTGTCGCGCTAATTGTGTTCAGCACATCAGCTTCGAACATATTGAAGTAATTTTGTTCTAAGAGATTACATTGAAGAGCAGCATTCAATCGCCGCCACACAGTATTTACCAAGCTTAACTTTTCATTTGTATTAAAAACATATATTTTCAGACAGAAAGAGTAATTAGCTGTCCTTAACGGAGTACAATCAATGCAGATAGGACCGAGTTTAGCTAGCTATTGGTAGAAATGTATCGTTATGTAAAATTTTACTGAATGTGACAGCTGTAAAAAGTTACGTCAATAACTATGCATGCACACGTTTAACGACAGGTATGTAAATCTGGTAAATGACTAGATTTAGATATATACATACATAGGAAGCAATCTTTTTTCTCTTAACCAGTTTTAACTCTTTTACCTGTCATTAGATCGCTTACTCGCTCAGCCGGTTGCCTAGCAACCGTTCAGCCAGTTTAACGCCGAGCAAAAGACTTGGTCACCTACAACGCTTGGTGGAATATGCGAGGGTAATTGAAATTCCAAGAAAAAAATAATTAATTATTTACACTCAATCAGTTAATAATTAAAAGGCTACCTCAATTTATTCTGAGGATGAAAATTTATTTTTTAAAGAATATAGCGAAGAACAAAATGCTTTTGTTGAAACAATAAAAGTTATATTTTATAATTAAGAATATAGGAATATATAATATAATAAATAAAACAGAATGCGTATATCCTAAACAAAATATTGAGAAAAACCATATACATATAAGTTTCTAGGTTTTCAAAATTTTTTTTTTATTGTTTAGTAGTTTCCATGATTCACTTAGGAAACCGTAATGTTTGGAAAAAAACATTTCTGTGATTGCTGATATGACTGTAGAGCAAAGTAATAATATATGGTAATATGTGCTCATGAGGTGACTAATTCCATTCAATTAAAGCGATAAATAATAAAAGCACATAATTTTGAGCTGATGCAACGAATTATAATTTTGCATTATTTTATACGTGGTGTAGTTAGAAAATAAAGGATTTCCACGAATGGGACGGACGGTACAAAGTTAAAGAAATAGACTTGAGTAAAAATATTTACTAGAAAAATAATTTGCTCAAAACGAGAGGCCCATCATTCCAGAATAATAAAAAGAGAAAATATATACATACATAGGCGTCATTCGTCTCCACCTCTAAACCTGATAGACACACCTCATATGCATTACGTCATCCATATACATAGTAWTAACAATCTGAACTAGGTAGAAATACCCACCAGTACTACTTAGTCTTGTACCATATTCTAAGTTCGTTATACTTTTGCCTAAAACATACAATCGTCCAATTTTTATAAAGTAAAAAATGGTAAGTTGTGAAACATAAACGAAGTGTTTACAGATTTATCCACATTCAGCGGTATACAATTTTTGTTGGTTTATAAAAGAGACGAATTAAATGGACTTGTCAATTAGTTTCGTAAACAAATCACTAAGAGTGTGAAATTTTCAACGGAAGCGATTTCGCTTGTACCTGCCTATCTGCAAATAATTGTATTAACAGTATTCATGCTTTGCCTAAGAGACTATGGATCTAAAACTGGTTTCGAAATTTCCTAAAGTTGAGATTGCTGAAAGTTATTAAGAATGATCTGTAGATCATTTTCCGCATATGCGATTTGACAGAAAAAATAATCGACCACGCTTTAATAAATTATTTTGTACACATGGATTGGTTCTTCAATTTTAATATTTGTAATGAGGTCATTGGTAAATATATATGTCTATCGTATACACATATGCAGGTAAATCTCTAATTACGGTACTTCCCTGACCATACATACAAACATATTATAAAAAAAAATCAAAACTACTTTGACAAAACTTTAGGAATACAAAGCTTGACCAACACATTTTCTTATACGAAAAGAGATGATRTATTTTCGAGATCCGGTAAAAATACTGAAGCAATTCCAAGCAAAGTTTAAATTCTTATTATCAGCGCCACATCCCACATCATGAAAATCAGTTTATTTATTTGAGTGAATAAAATATTATGAAATATTTACTAAAATATAGCTGTGTAATATTTTAGTAAATATAGCTGTGTAATATTTTAGTAAATATTTCTAGAAAGCAGATTTCTAGAGAAACGAGAGAAGTCCGTATTTAACAATACAAGTATATGCATACAAACATACGTAATCTAGGTACATGTCGGTATAAAGAACTAAAAAAGAGAATTGCGGACGCAATATTAACTCTAACAATCCCAATTAAAAAGTAGTTAAATAGAAATAAACAAATACAACTACTTATTGCACTATCATCTATAACTAATGATAGCAACAAAAGCAATTAAACAGAAATTAAATTATTTTCATGGCTCAATAGTAGCAGCACCAACGAAACAGTATGTTGTGAACAGCGGCCTCAGAAAAATCAAAAGAGATCCTGGTTCTCGAATGTTGAATGGTGTAATAAAGGCCTAAGTAAACCAGTGCCATAGCCATCATGATTATTATATTAATAGTCGGAACCGGTGAAGCACCGACGTGAAGCGGCTGAATCTAATAATGTTAAATAGTGATATGCATGTAAGTAAGCACTTTTGTGAAATTTTACAAACGCACAGATAATCATGCCGCCTRCATTAACAAAAATTAAAAATTCTTAGGTCACGAACACTATTGCAATGTTACCAGACCAGCCACGTCTGATTCGGCTGTCGTTGACATTGCAACGTCACTTTTATATACAATGTATACACATTCACATATGCTACGCCACATTTAAGCGTATTGCAGGGGCGTTTTGTTAGTCCAGTGACGCTCCATGCTAATCGTTTAACCCATTATTGCCCTAAAAAGCCATCATTAGTGTTGCTTTATCTTAGAATTTATATCTATTATTGCAAAATTTCAAATTTTTCTAAAACGTGGTCAGACGGTTTGAGTTTCTAAACAGCCTCTTTTTTTATTTGAATATTTGAACTAAAATAAGTATAGTCAKTAGGAACTTATTACTAAAGGGTTAATGAACCTTGATAATATGCCCTCAAGTGTCCTATAGTAAATATTGTTTTCAGCACATACTACACTGAATTTATAAGTATTATTTATAGTAACAATAAAAATCACACACTAAATGAAGAAAAAACTAGCTGGCAAAGTGTGTTTATTATAATTAAAATTGGTAAAGTGTCAAAAATTGCTATATATTTTTATATGCCAGCCGTATATAATTATGAGTGAAAATAWTATTCCCAAGAAGACTTCATTAAACAATAAAATGTTATATTACTATGTAACCGATAGCTTTAAAGTCATAGAGAAACCTCTAATTTTTCCTTTCCTATAATGTGACTTTTTAAAACTAGATCAATTCTGCCTCACACTCAATACCAAGGATAATCGCTCCATATTCTAAAAACACTCGTACATTAATACACATACCCGCACGTTTGTATGTACGCAAGCCTTTAGGTGGGMCATTGGACGCTAATTTATTGCAGCAAGCGAAGAAAATTGCAGTCAATTGCTCAGCTAAATACATATGTACATACATATACACATAATAGTACATAAGAATTAAATAAACTTATAAATAACAAATGAATTAGAATGCAACGCAACTATATTTAAACAATTTACTTCCACCAGCCTTGAGGCAAAAATAAGCATAATAAATTTGTTGTATTCTTTTTGAAACGGTTGGGGTGCTTGCACTCACATATCAATTAATTACGAACAAGTTAGGCAATAATTAAAACAATTGAAGAGCAAAGTATGAACAAATAAAACCGTTCGATGGCTCAGTGCTTGCACACAAATTTACCAAATGGATGTGCATATCTGCTTTCATTAAAAGTTCCGTTCTACTGTCTAGTTTATTTTCAGAATCGGTAGTC